CTCGACCCAGGGATGGTACGGTGCACAGCTGTTCGGTTCTCGGAGCCGAGCAACTGTGCTCCGTACCGCGTCGGGGCGGGGTCTGAGGGGAGTCCAAGCATGGTGCGGTGCATGGGCGCCGTTGTCGCACTCGGGGCAACCGAAGGCGGGACCATGTGATTGATGTTCCCCTGGACGTGTGCTGTCCCAGTGTGCGTTTACCCCGCTCAGCCCCGCCGACAGTGCGCAGCTGCGTCGGCCTTTTTTCGGCAACCGAGATTTCATGGTTGCCCTTGCTCGCGCTCCAACTCCACGAGGGGCCAGAGCGGTGCCCACAGCGGATGGCATCAGCAGGGGCATGTATAACATATCGATCGCCTATTGATTGTGCCGCCTGCGTTATTGTGAAAGGCTTTGGTAAGCACACGCGGGCGCCGTTTTTCGGATGTGGGTTGGTTTCGTATAGGGTCCCGCCTGTGGGATCCTGGGTCCAGTTGCCCCTGCTCGTTGTGTTCCCAGTGGCTGCTCATAAACTCATTGCTTCGGCTCGTTCCGTTCGATGGGCTTTCGAGCGTGTGCTCCCAGGGGCCGGCCCATAGAGTCTTGGCTTTGGTTTCCCCCTTGCGCTGTGTTTCCTGAGAGTACCCACAGGGTCCTGATCGAAGTTGCCCCTTTGTTGGATTTCCGGTGGCATTGGATTCCGCCCAGAGGGGCCCATGTTAGGATATTTTCTTAGCCTTCTGCAGTATGGATATGCATATTTTTTGTTAGGTGTATCCAGGTTGTCTTGAGCTATGTCTGATGTCTCGTGTGCGTGTGTGTTTGTTTGTCTGTCTGTCTGTTTGTTTGCATGTACATCTGCATGCATGCATGAATGTATATATGCATATGCGTGCGTACGTATGTAGATGTATAAGTATGTATGCATGTATGTATGTTTGCTTAGCTGTTAAGTTTGTATGCCTGTATGTGTGTGTGCATCTACACATATGTTTGTATGCGTGTATCCATGTAGATAGGCATGCATGTATGTATGTATGGATGTGCGCATGCATGCATGTATGTATACTGTATGCTATGCTATGTACAGTGTGCATGTTGTATATGTGTATTTGCTAGGTAGTTCATGTCTGTTATGTATGTCATGTATGTGTGTAGTTATGTAGGCATGGAGGTAGACTGGTAGGCAATGCGATATAATATGATATGCCAAGATGTGCTATGATGTCATGTAATGTAGTGACATGACATGGAATGTATTGCATTGCAAGGTGTTGCAGTATGATGTAATGCAATGTCGTGTAAGTTAATGTAACGTAATGCGTGGTAACGTAATGCAATGTAATATAACCCAGCGTGTGTGTATGTATGTATGTATGTATGTATGTATGTATGTATGTATGTATGTATGTATGAATGTATGTCTGTATGTTTGGATTTGTGTGTAGCTCTTAACCGGACGGGGCCCGCTCCCGACCCGCCGATCAAACAAATATTTGGATTTGTGTATACATGCACATACATCTCTATACATATATATATGTGTATGTATATTAGTGTGTGTGTGTGTGTGTGTGTGTGTGTGTGTTTGTCTCGTCTCGGGCGCCTGGCCGCACTGTGCATCCACTTGCCTGCCTCCTTGGCACGCTTCATCCTGCACCCCTTCACCCTCGCTGCCAACACCCGGGTATGCGCATGGCATGGCCGATCCCGTTCGGATCCCGGCCCCATCTTCTCAGGGGCTGGCCGCGCGCGCACGCTCTAGTTGTTTGGGGACTTTCTCCGCCTCATCGCCGCAACCGAGGTCGCGATCGCCAAGACGTCTGTGTGCGCGTGTCCGCAACATCATTTGTCTCCGTCTCAGAGAGAGGATGAGGGCCACCCTCGGAAGCTATGAAGTGCAAGCACGGTGATATAAGTCAGGAGGGAAAGAAACACACAGACACAATTAATCGGCGATTCCCAGAAAATATGGGAAAATATGGGAAGTGGGGGGGAAGACAAAAACCCAGAAAATATAGGAAAATATGGGGGATATTTTTATTTGTGTGTATTTATTTGTGTGTCCCAGTTCCCCTTCAATAAGCTGTGCAGTGCAAGCGGTGTAGTGCAAGCAGCGCGAGGCGCCCACGAGGCGTCCACGGCCGCCAACCATGCGACAACCGTGGCAGACCCGCCCAGCACTCGGGGCGCCACGAGGAGGCCGCTCCTTAGGCGAAACCTTGGCATAACCGCCCAGCACACTGGGCGCCCTCGAGGCGCCCACGACCGCGCACCGGATGAAATTTTGGCAGATCCAGCCAGCGCACGGGGCGTTCACAAGGCGCCCGCGACCGCCCACCTGCCGACTTTTCGGCATACCCGTTCGATTGCTCCAGGAAACAGGCCAGAATCCCCAGGCTCAACCACTGTTTGGGGAATGAACTTTGGGAGGTCTCTGCGGATTTCATGGATCGGAGACTTGACGCACCCGGCGGCGCCTCTGGCGCTGGCCGTAGCGTGTTCCGTTCTTCAGGTCGGGTTGTCCAGTGCCGATCCCAGACATCGCGCAAAGCCAGGAACATGTATATTTAGGAGTTCTTCCTTCTCACAACAACGCACGATGACAACAAGGCCCTCCCTCTACTACAAGCTCTGGGCCACCACGGCCAACTACAGCCACCAGAAGAGCTACGGCTGGTACCAGGTGTGGGCCCTGCTGGCGCCCTGGTGTTACGCAGTCGTGCGTGGAGCTGCCTGGTTCACCTTCGGCTGGTGGAGCGACGAGTGGAAGAAGATTCTTCAGGAAGCTTGCGCCAGTCCGCCGACCCCCAGAATAGAAGATGTGCGGCATCCGATCTCGTATGTGTTGTTTGCTGCTTCCCGTCATGCTGCCCTCCTGTAGCTGCTGCTGCTGTGTTCTATTCCACCGTGTCTGCTGCGGGGCTTCTCGGAGGGGCGGGGGCAGCCGATCACCTCACACGCTTTCTCACCCCTGGCAAGCGGGGGTCTGCGGCTCACGCTTGGCATCTACGAGCCTCCAAGGACTACTTCTGAACGCTCCCTCCGCGATGCGAAGGAATGCGGACGGCTCGACGGCCCTGCAACCCCAACGGAATCCGTAATCGTGGAAGCGGCGCTGATTCAGACGGACCGCGCTGGCCGTGTTGTGGTTGCGCGCAATAGAGGTGTTGATAAGTTCTTCCTCCCCGGCGGTCAGCCAGAAAAGGGCGAGAGCATGGAAGACTCGCTGCTTCGAGAAATTTGCGAGGAGCTGCTGGTTGTCCTGAAGCCACCCAGTCTTCGGCTTCTCGGTGTGAACCGCGGCAGCGCGCAGGGGCAGGGTCCTCCACAGACAGACACAATTAGTCGTCGATCCCCCCGAGAATATATGGGAACATATGGGAAGTGGGGGGGAAGACGAAAATCCCAGACATATGGAACCCATGGGGAATATTTTGACCTGCGTGTATTTCTTCTTTGCGTGGCCTGGGGCCCCTTCACGCTCAAGGCTCGAGGGGGGGGCACGGGCGGCCGCCGCGCGTGCGACGCCGCGAGCCGCTCGAGAGCCCTTGGGGGGCTCGTTGTCGGTGCCTCTAGGGTGTGTTCTTCACCACCCACCAAACCACCCCAGCCCAACCCGAAGGCCCCAATGTATCCTCGATCTTCAGTGGGGGGGGGGGGTCGTGGAACATCGAGAAAACACATATGGAACCCGTACCCCCCCCAAGCCGAAATTCGGGTCTTCGGGTTGGGTTGGGGTGGTCTGGTAGGTAGTCAGTTCTTGGGTGCCTCTTGGGGGGTTCTCGTGGAACGCCTCGGCTGCGCTGCGGGGGAGACGTCGCGATGGGTGCCTGGGGGTGGGAACGTCGCGAGGGAAACGTCCACCCTCGCGGCGTTCCCTACGGCCTCGTTCCCTCGCGACGTTCCTTCAATGCCTCGGCTGCGCCCCGTTGGGCTCTCGTGGGCTCCCTGGGCCGCCTGGGAGCGCTCTCGGGCCGTCTGGGCGCGAGTTCCGAGACGGTCTTGGGGGGGCTCTGTCGGTCGATTTGGGGCTTTGTGAGGGACTTGGATGGCCGTCCTTGGGCCGACTCGGTATCCTCTTGGGCCGCTCTTGGGCCATCTTGGATCCCTCTTGGGCCGTCTTGAGGCCCCCTTGAGGCCCTCGTGGGCTTTCTTGAGGCCGTCTTGGAGTCCTTCTTGGGCCGTCTTGAGCTTGCGGAAGCCCGACAAGGTGAGAATGCGAACATCAATGAAACACTATATGGCAATCAATGGTTTTGGCCACTTTGTGCCCTGCTGTAGGTCCTCTTTGTGCCTTCTTGGGCAGTCCTGAGAGCCTCTTGAGCAGTCCTGAAGCCATCTTGGCGCCTTGGATAGCGCCAGGAAAATGTTGGGGCTCCCAGGGAGCCTCCTCAGGAGATTGGGGGATGCACGTGGGCGCCTGTGACCGGGCGGGGGGGGCCCTTAGAAGACTACATAAATCCTGCCAGGTAGCACTTGGCATTCTACTACGCCTCAACGTGCCCGGGGCGTCGTGGTGGATTCGGGTACTTTCTTGGATGATTTCGTGCCTCGCGCCGCAAATGAGGTGGGAGAGATTCGATACACCAGTTCTGGGGAGGCACACGATCATTAGCTGCGGAGGTGGTGAACAATCTCGAAAAGACAGGGATGCTGAAGTAGTTCTTATTTTGGCATATCACAGTTTTGATGCGGCAGGTATGTGCTTGTACTGTCAGGTTTCGGGAGATATAGCTATGTGGCGGCGCGCCTTTGAGTAATGGAGGCTCTGACAAAAGTTTGAATGGCATGATGCTGTAGATTTGTAGCAGTGACTGGTGCCACAGTCAATGTCGCCTTGGTCTCGTCCTCGGTTTGCGTGCATTCAGCGAGTAGCCGTGCGCAATGAGTTCGTTGAAATGCAGTTTGGGAGGGAGGCATCAGTAAGTTGCTGTTTAGTTGAATCAAGCTGTCAGCACAAACGACCAGTAAGATGCGGGTCACGTCAGCACGGTGAGGACAACAGTGGCAAGCCCCAGGTCCTCCGCGCGATCTTCTACATGCACATGAATAGGATTTGCCATCGCGATCTCAAACCCGAGAACTTCCTGCTGTTGACTAAGGATACTGTGCTGCGGGGGGGGGTGTCACGAATGTTTTTTTTTGTTGGCCGCCAATACGCGTGTGCAGCTGGCGCATGCACATTGGGTGTCGTACTTCGCATATTTGTGGGATTTTGTGACTGCATGTGCGCGTCTGAGTTTTGGAATGCGATTAGAATGTGATTAAGGTAATTATCCGTGGCATGTTCGATGCGTGATGCGGAGGGTTCGTGATGATGGTATCGCTTCGCGGCAACAGGTCTAGACAGGCAGGAATTTCACGGAGCATCCCAAGTTATTCATTGGCTTTCACCACACCGCCGACCCTTTTGGGCCTTTGGATGTTGTTAATCATCTTCTCATTCTTTTCCTCTTTCACTCTTTCTCCTCTCCTCTCCCTCCTTCCGCTCCCGTCCCTTCGATCGTCGACCCTCTTCGATCCCCCTCCTCCTCCTCCTCCTCCTCCTCCTTCTCCTCCTTGTCCTGCTCTCCTCTATCCGTGCTCCCACCGCTTTTCGATCGTCAGCCGTCGACCATACAACACGCCGCCCAGAAGACACGTATGCAGGGCCCCGAGAGCGTGAAGAATTGCACCCTGACGCATGCGAGGGGCCTCTCGCCTCTCGCCCAGCCCCTCTTGGAGGCAGTTTGAAGTGGATCTTCTGGGCCTTTTGTGGGCCTCTCGTGGGCCTCTCGGGGCCCTCCTGGGCCGTCTCAGGCGCCTCTGGGGCTGTCTTGGGACCATCTTGGGCTGGCTTGGGCCCCTCTTGGGCCGTCTTGGGGCCGTCTTGGGCTGCCCTGGGCCTCTCTTGGGGTCCTCTTGGGCTGTCTTGGGCACCTGTTGGGCCGTCCCAGGGCCGGCTGGAGCCGTCTTGGGGCCCTCTTGGGGGCCTCTTGACCCGGCTTGGGTCGATCTTGAAGGCCTGGCCCCTCCCGCCCTGCGGCTGCCGGGCCAGCCCCGCGGGTGCGTCGTGACGCCGCCCCGCGAGGACTGCCGGGAGCTGCCCTTCAGCCTGGCCGCCCCTCCGCGCTCCCCGCGGCTCCGCGGCGTGAGAGTGCCCCCCGCTCCAGCGTCCCCTCTGCGGCCGCCCTCTCCTCTTTCCTCTTCTCTTGCATGCGGGCCAGTTCCGTAGCCCGGTGTTGTTAGTCGCGCGGGCGGATTGCCCTTGTTGCGCCGCGACGTATAAAAGTGCGTGTGCGTACCTGCGTGCGTGCGTGCGCGCGTGCGTTTGTGTGTGTGTGTGAGTGTTTGAGAGAGAGAGAGAGAGAGAGAGAGAGAGAGAGAGAGAAGAGGAAGAGAGAAAGAGATAGAGAGAGAGAGAGAGAGAGAAAGAGAGAGAGAGAGAGAGAAAGAGAGAGAGAGAGAGAGAGAAGGAGAGAGAGAGAGAGAGCGAAATTAGGATAGATACACACTTTACACATACACATACTCATACACATTACATGTACAGCATGTACATTTTATATTTAATAGTTTAAACCATACGAATGAAGTTAATTATACTAATTACATAATGTATACGTACATCGTAAGAAAGCGTCAATGCCGCAGTCTCCACAAGGAGTTCACGATCCATTTTCTGTGCTCGTTATAGTTCAGCACCTGTCATGCGAGCAGTGCTGCGCGTGCTGCGAGCGTCTCGGGAGGGCGGGCGGTAAGATGGTCAGGCTCTGCTGCAGCGGAGCACCGCCGCCGCTGTTGGCTCTATCGCTGCTGCTGCCGCTGCTGCTGCTTCTCTAGTCTGCATCCTCGTGACGTAGCTACCCTCTTCCCTCCTCCCCCCCCCTCTCCTCCTCCCCCTGCCCCCTCCCCCTCCCCCCTCTCCACAATTACACAAAATGAATACTACTCTCCACTTTCCCCTGGGTCTTTGCGGAAGATGGCTGGCACCCCTCCGCGTATTGTTTTTTTACACAGGACTGCCGGGAGTTTGGTTTTCATATGTGTTTTTGCTTCAAAACCTTGTTCTTGGTGCAGCGCTGGCCTCTTCTTTGGGAATCGTGCTCCCGCTGCAGCGTTGACCTCATTTCCGCGCTTCCGCTCGTTCCGAATGGTACTCACGCTGCAGCGCTGGCCTCATTTCCAGTGCCATGCCATGGCATGCAATGCAATGCAATGCTATGGTGTTTTCCGCTGTGCGATGCCATCCCTTCAGCTGCAATGCTCTGATATGCATTGCTCGACTACGCAGTGCCACGTCATGTTACGTCATGCTACGCGTTGATCTTCAACGCCATGCTATGCCATGTAACGCTAAGCCATGCTACGGCATCCGACTGCGTGGATAGAGAGGAGATCTGCGCCATGGCAAGGGACGGGAGGGAGGGGCAGGATGTCAGAGAAGACGCTTGCTCACCCAGCTCGCCCTCTCCCTCTCCCCTCTCCCCCCTGCCCACGACCCTCCCCCTCCCCCCCTCCCCCTCTCCCTCCCCCTTCCCCCCTTGCCCTGCCCCCTCCCTCCTCTTCCTTTCTGCTCCCTGGCTCCCTCCGCCCTCAGGGCGAGGGGCCTCTGGAGGTCCCGCGCAGGGCCCGGTGGAGGTCGAACGTGGCAAACATCAACCGTAGTCTTTCTCCTTCTCTTCCTCCTCCTCCCTCCTCTTCGCCTTCCTCTTCGCCCTCCTCCTCCACCTTCACTTCCACCTCGCCCTCCTCCCTCCACCTTCGCCCTCCTCTTCGCCCTCCTCCACCTTCACTTCCACCTCCTCTTCGCCCTCCTCCTCTTCCTCGGCGTCTTCCTCCTCATCCCCTGTTTGCCGCCAACCGCAGGAGCCCATACTCAACAATGTGTTAAAGATCATAGACTTCGGCCTCTCCCACGACTTCAAGCCTGGCGAGTTCATGTCCACCAGGGCCGGGACGCCCTTCTATGTGGCCCCAGAGGTGCTCACCAGCAGGTACACCGAGCGGTGCGACCTTTGGAGCGCGGGCGTGATCATGCACCTCGACGGGGCAGTCAAAGGAGGAGATTCGAGGCTTTCTCCCCTTGCCCCAAGATTGGGGTTCTTGTTGCACGTGTGCCGCCCCCGCCTCCTCCTCGCTCACCCGGGTCCCTCGCACACTTGTGCTGAACTCTGCTCAGTCAAACTCAGGTTCAACCATGCTCAGCTTAGTCATTCTCAGAGTCACCCACACTCAGTCACTCGTACTTCCGATCGCTCATACTTAGATTGACTCATGCTCAGACTCGCTCATTTTCACGCTCACTCGTACTCATATTTACTCACACTCGCACTCAGTCGTCACTCACTCTAAGACTCATTCCGTACCGAAACGCACTGACCTATTCATTTAAACTTATATTCACTCACACGCAGACTCGCTCATATTCAGATCACACATGCTCAGACCACTTACACAGTCTGATATGCTGGTACTCAGACCCACTCATACTCAGAGTCATTCATACTCAGACCACTTACATGAAAGCCCACTCATAGCCAGGGTCACACTCATGATCACTGTGATGTAGCAGGCGTAGCGTTTCAGCTCCGGAAGGAAGAGCCGCCACAGGGTAGGACGCTTGCCCATTCGCGGCCAGATTGTGGGGATGTCTCGAGCGAGACGCTCGTTTGGCGTCGCTGACTCCTCTGCTTTGATAACCCCGTGATCACCGCGATGTAACAGGCGTGACGCTTTGGCACCCCAAGGGGCACCCGCAAGGGGGGAGGACACTTGCTCGTTCGCGCCTAGATTGTGGAGATGTCTCGAGCGAGGCGCTCTCTTGCCGTGTCCCCGTTCGCACCTAGCCTGTGGGGTTGTCTCGAACGTTTCGCCTGCTTGGCGTCCCCGACTTCTACTTCTGTCTTTGTGGAGCCTTAAACATTACCTCGACATAGCAGGCGTGGCACTTGGGCACCCCAAGGTGGAGCCGCCAGGGGGTGTTGCACTTTTCCGTTCAGATTGTGGGGCTATCTCCAGCGAGACGCTGGCTTGGGCACCTCCTGCGCTCGGAGCCCAACGATCACCGCGATGCAGCAGGCATACCGTTTGAGCAGTCCAAGACAGCCGCCAGGGGGTGTTGCCCTGGCCCGCCCGCGGCCGGATCGCGGGGACGTCTCCAGCGGAACGCCGGTTTTGACACCCCCGGCTCCTGCCTCGCAGTGTCCCGAGATCATCTCTACGCAGCTGGCACGGCATCGGCTCTCCCAGGGGGATATCCGCTAGAGTGTCCAGTCGTCACGGGCCAAGGCTTCCACTCAGACGCTCACGGCGGGAAGTGCCAGAACAGGAGGGGCACTTCTCCGCGACGAGAATGATTAGCTTTTGTGGTTCAGCCTCTGGAGGCCGTTCTTGGGCCCTGGAACCTACAAAAGTCGACAGGGGTCTGGGTGCCCCCATGTTGAGCCGACCCTTGTCGGCAGGAGGAGGATCGAGAGTCACCGCTGCAGGTGCCCGTCCTTCGTTTGCGCCTTTTGGGGCCTCCCAGGAGGCCCTTGGGGTCGCCCTGGCTGGGTTCGCCTCGGATGGCTGGTCAGAACGCATCCTTGGAGAGGTCCAGACGGGATCGGCATCGTTTTCTCCCCCCAGGGAGGATCGAGGCTCGAGTTTTGTTTGTTTGTTGTCTCCAGAGGCCTCCAGATGCCTATGGGATGTTCCCGAGGCCCCCAGAGACCCGCGGAGACCTTTGGACGGAGGTACGTGCTCTTGTGCGGCTACCCGCCCTTCAGCGGGAAGAGCGACGGCGAGGTGCTCTCCAAGGTGTCGGAGGGCATCAATAATCGAAGACGCCTACGGCGAATCACCGCCGCCCCCTGCCCCGTTGGAAGCGCCTCTGTGGCCGACAGCTGGGCCAGAGCTTGGCCAAGCTTTCGGGCCAGTTGGAAAGACTTCGGCCTCCTGTGAGCTTCCTGGGGGCCTCTTGGAGGGTTTTGGGAGGCCTTTGGGGGCTTCTTCGGGGCCTTTTTGGCCGTCTTAGGGCGTTCTTGATTCGTCTAACGCCGTAGAAGCCGTCTTTGGGGCCTGTCTGGGCCGTCTTGGAGCCCTCTTGGGGCATTTCAGGGCTGTTTCGGAGGCCATCTTGGGCGTCTTGGAGGCCTCTTGGGCCCTCTTGGGGCCCTCTTGGGGCCGTCTTGGGGGCCTTTTGGGCCGTCATGGGGCCATCTTGGAGGCCTCGTGGGCGATCTTGGGGCGATCTTGGGGGGCTTTTTGGCCGTCCTGAGCCGTCGGAATGCTGAGAAGAAGCAAATGCCAACATCTTTCAAACACCTGAGGAAAATCAATTATGTTGACCTCTTCGGGCACCCCTGGAGGACCTCTTGGAGGCCTCTTGGGCCGTCTTGAAGGCCTCTTGGGCCGTTTTGGGCGCTTCTTGAGGCCATCTTATGCCGTTTTTGGTGCATCTTGGGCCGTTTTGGAGGCATCTTGGGGCCATGTTAGCCGTCTTGGAGGCCATCGTGGCCGTCTTGGAGGCTTCTAGGGGCCGTCTTGGGGGCCTCTTGGGCCGTCATGGGGCCATCTTGGAGGCCTCGTGGACGATAGTGGGGGCCTCTCGGGCCGTCTTGGGCCGTCGGAATGCCGAGAAGATTCAGATTCCAAAATCTTTCAAAAACGGTACGAAAATCAATGATTTTGACCTCTTCGGGCCCTCCTGGAGGACCTCCTGGAGGCCTCTTGGGCCGTCTCGAGAGCCTCTTGGGGACCTCTGGGGCCGTCTTGGGCCATATTGAGGCCGTCTTAGGCCGTCGTGGGTGCATCTTGGACCGTCTTAGGGCATCTTGGGGCCATCTTAGCCGTCTTTGAGGCCATCTGGGCCGTCTTGGAGGCCTCTTCGAGCTCTCTTGGGGCCGTCTTGGGGGTCTCTGGGGCCGTCATGGGGCCATCTTGGAGGCCTCGTGGGCGATCTTGAGGCGATATTGGGGTCCTCTGGGGCCGTCTTGAGCCGTCGGAATGCCGAGAAGAAGCAAATGCCCAAATCTTTCAAAACCATAATTAAGGAAAGTCAGCGATTTTGGCCTCTTCGAGCCCTCCTGGAAGACCTCTTGAGGGCCTCTGAGGCCGTCTTGGGCCGTCTTGGAGGCTTCTTGGGCGAACTTGGAGGTATCTTGGACGCTCTTGGGCCGTCAGGGTGGCCATCTAGAACCGTGTAGAATCATCTTGGAGGCCATCTTGGCCATCTTGGACGCCATCTTGAGCCGTCTTGGAGGATTTTTTGTGGACGTTGGGGTCCTGGGCAATCCTCCCGGGACCCCGGCGGGACGGGCCGAAGCGCCAGGGGGACTTCTTTTGGAAAAAGAACCAAAACCAAAACCGAAAGGGTCCAGCACGCCAGGCACCCCTGCGATGAATCGACAGGGGGCGGCGGATCTAGTGGTCTTCGGCCTATCCCGCCACCGTGCCCGAGTCGTGGAGGAGAGGCCTCGTGGGGCCTCTTTGGAGCTTCTTGGTGACTTCTTGGGGGCTTTTTGGAGCCCTCCTGTGGGCTTCTTCGGGGCCTCTTGGAGGTCTTTCTGGGCCCTCTCTGGGCACCCCTGGGGGACTCCCAGGGGCCTGGAGAGGCTCTTTCCGGCTTCTTGGGGGACTACGGGCAGTCTAGGGGGCCACCTGGCAGTGGCCGGCTGTGCATGACAGTTCGAGTTTGCCCTCTCGAGCCCCTCTTCGGGGTCTCTTGGGCTCCTCCTGCGCTCCTCTCGGAGGCCCTCTTTGCTGAGTCTTGTGGGCCTCCTTGGCCGCCTTGGACGCGCTAAAAACTACAAGTACTTTCGGAACAGAGAAGAAAACCATGGATTTGATTTTGGCCTCTTTGGCCACCCCAGTACCATTCAGATGGCCCAAGAGACCCCCAGGACCTGTCTTGGGGCTACCGAGGGTTCTTGAGCGTTTTGGAGTGCCTGGGTGACTTTAGGAGTCGGCTAGGGCGGGTTGGGCCTCTTGGATGCCCATGCGAGAGGGGCCGACAGCGCCCAAGATTTTCAGGCTCTTAGGAGTCATGTAATCCTTTCAACGCTGTAATCACTCCACTTCTTGCTGAAGGCACGGTGGTGGATATGAGAGCCAGGATGGCATATGTACCGATCTCGGGCCAAGGACGGCCTTGTCAGGTTTGGTGTATGTGCGTACCTCCTCTCCCTCCTACAACATCGACCCTTGTACAACGTTGACCCCCAGAGGGTTCCACCCCCCTCCCCAGGATCGGTGCTTCCTCCCGAGCCCTCCTTGACGGTCCCAGGGCCCGGTACAACGAACCTTCGAGGCCAGAGGTGGCCAAAAGGTGCGAGGGGTCTGGGAAGGTGAAGCAGGGCTGTCTCCACTTCAGCCACCGGGACTGGAGGAACGTCTCCGACGACGCCAAGGACCTCATCCGCATGCTGGTGAAGACCAGCCCGCAGGAGCGCCTGTCGGCCGAGCAGGCCCTGCAGCACGCCTGGATCGCGCAGAAAGCGCCCAAGGCTGCCAGCGTGACCCTGGAGGAGAGCCCATACCTCGGGGGCAGAGGTAGGGGGGGATGGGCTCGAGGTCGGAGGTTTGCGGGCGTGTCCGTCGGTTCTCGGAGGTCTTCCAGCTTCGGGGTGCTCTCCAGCGGCTGCGTCTCGCCGAGGGCGTTCTTAGGGTGCCCGCATCGTCCCGAACGGCCGCCTGAGGGCCGGTTTCTGACCCGAAAATGAGGGGGCAATGGCTGGGGGGGGAGGCTCAGGGGGGGAAGTGTCGACCCCCAATCGCCCATGATCGCCGATAAGGGGCCCGAGTGCTTCGACCTGCCTATGACCGAACGGGTTGGCACTCGAGGGCCTATCGCCGATCTATCGGCGAGGTATCGCCGACTCGAGCTCGATATTTTCTCCCACAGAGGTGGGGATCAAGGGTTTGGGGCCTTCTGTTTTTTCTCAACCCTCCCTTGGTTGGGTTCTCGTCGTGAATGAAGCAGTGGAGTGCCAACACCCTTCTCCTCCTCCCGCCCTCTGTTCCCCTCTCGCCTGCCTGCACCTGCCGGCTTGCATCTCGTGGGGGCCGCGAAGTGTGAAGCTGTCGCCACTTTCGAGGGCTGCTGGGGGGGGACAGCATAGTGGGTGCCGACGGCATATTCAAATCAGACCTCGACACCCTTGGGGGCTGCGATTTGCGAAACTGGCGCTATTTTTGAATTCTGCTGGGGGGGCCAGTATGGTTGGTGCCGATGGCAGATTCAAATTCGACCTCGACATCTCTGGGGGTCTGCGAAGTGTGAAACTGTCACCACTTTCGAGGGGTGCTGGGGGGGGACGGCATAGTGGGTGCCGACAGCATATTTCAATTAGACCTCGACATCCCTCGGGGGCTGCGAAGTGTGAATTTGTCGCCACTTTCGAGGGCTGCTGGGGGGGACAGCACAGTGGGTGGGTGCCGACGGCAGATTCAAATTAGACCTCGACATCTCTGGGGGAGATTGCGAAACTGGCGCTACTTTTGAGGGCTGCTTGGGTGGCCAGCATACTTAGTGGGTGCCGGCAGCAGATTCATTTTAGGCCTCGACGTCCTGGGGGCTGCGATCTGCTAAAGTGTTGCCACTTTACAGGCTGTTGGGGGGCCAGCATAGTGGGTGCCGACGACAGATTTGAATTTGAGCTCGACATCCCTCAAAGGCTGCGAAGTGCGAGGCTGTCGCCACTTTTGAGGGTTGTGGTGGGGGGGGGGAGGAGGGGCATCATGGTGGCGATTCGGTTGAGGTGATTGTTCTTCCACCCCGATGTTTTCCTTTTGCTTATCCATCCCAGTGTAATGCCTCCTGGTCTTTAGTACCTCTGTTCTGCGAGTCGGCCGCGCATACTTTGCACGATACAGATATCATCCTGTGCAATCGTTTCATGCAATGTTGCTGCCGCACTAGACCTGCACACCTTGTATTTTCCTCTGTGCCGATGGGTTGGGTACGTCGCAGGGTTCTTTTTGCTCTCCAGGGACCTCCAGAGCAGGAGGTGGGAGGAAGCTGGTGTCTGCCGCTTGCCGTCCTCTTGTGGGGCGCCTCGCTCCTGCTCCTGCCCTTGCCTCTCCGTGCCGCCTCAGGCTCGAGGATCGCGGCGCGAGGCGCTCGGGCGTGCCCGTGCTGCTCTTCTGCCTCGGCGAGGCCGCTCGCCGCCGCGGCCTGGGCTCTGGTCGAGCCTGTGCCGGGAGCGCGCACCCCCGGGGACAGAGGCCCAGAGGCCGGCTTTGGTTCCCGAGCCGGCCTGGACCTCCTGCGGCCGCGCGCGGAGGGGGCTTATGATGGGGGAAGGGGGAAAGCTTCTTTCAGGAGGAAGAGAAACACACAGACACCATTAAGCTTCGATTTCCCAGAAGATATGGGGGAAAATGTGGGAAGTGGGGGGGAAGACAGAAACCCAGAAAAAATAGAAGAAAGTATGGGGAATCTTTTTATTCGTGTGTATTTCTTTGTGTGTCCTGGGGCCCCTTCGTTCTTAGAAGCATCCCTGCTATCTGAAAAGTCGTCCCCCCTTCCCTTAAAGCCCCCTCTGCGCGCCGCCAGCTCCTCGCGTTGTGAAAGGCCACGGCGGAAGGTTTTTCGTGATTTCGTGATTGTAGTGGCCTCCGGCCAGTGCCGCCGACCCGGGGCGTTCCCGACGCTGTCGATGGCTTCGGCGACGAAGACGACGACGAGCGGCAAGTGTCGACGGAATATTGACGACGAACATGAACGAGGACCGACGACCACGGCGATGAGGACAGCTGACGACGACGATTGCGATGGAAGGCTTTTCATGATCTCGTGATCTCGGGGCTCGTCCAGAAACGACTCGGGACGAGAAACCGGTCCTGGGGAAGGTATCGGATTTTCGGAGGCCTTCGAAGCAGTGGCCGATCGGGCGAAGAAAAGCGCGCGCATGAGGTCACACCGATCCTGGACGGGTTCTCCTGCTCCGATTCCTCTTCCTCTCTGCACTGCGACGCGGCCGGGCATCGCGAGGGCGGCCAGGAGCGGCGGGCAGAGGCTCGCTCCCTCCTGGCCTGGGTCGGGGGTTGCGGCTCGCATGCCGGGGGGTGTTCTGCAATGATGACTCGATGAGCGGGTTCTTGATTTTGGTCCAGGAGTCAAGCGACGACGACGACGACGACCCTGGCTCAGCCCAGAGGGCGTGGGCACCGATCCCGGGCCCAAGACAGGCCTGGCCACCAGAGACCGCTGCAGAGCGTGCTCGGCCGGGCGCCACCCCCCCGAGGAGAGCTTCGTGGACAGGCTCCGGGCCTTCCGGGCGCAGAACAAGTTCAAGAAGGCTCGGCGGCGCGCAGAGGGAGGGAGTAGAGGGGGGAGGGGGGCAGGCTTCTTGGAGGCACCCCTGCTTCTTAGAAGGCGCGGGCCTCGTCTGCAGATGTAGGGATGGCGCCTCCTGAGAAGCAGGCTCCTTCTAAGAAGCCTGCCCCTCTCCCCCTACCCCCTCGCGCGCGCCGCCAAAAGGCGGTGCTCCACGTGATCGCGGGGCAGCTGAGTTCCGAGCAGATTCGGGGCCTGCGCAACATCCCGGACGACGTCAGCCCTGTGTACCAGACGAGCTCGATCCACACCGCCGCCCGTACCAGCACCCGTGAAAGCGTGCATCGAACAGGTCTGATACAGATGACACGCGAGGGTTCGTAGTAACCTCAGCTTTGCAGGGAGGTGCCCTTGCCTTCTACTCGCTTGGGCTCTGCACCCTGGAGACTGTTCTTTTTTTGAGGTATCTCAATGGGGCCTTGGGCCTTTGGCTTAGGGGCTCGTGTCCCCTGAGATCCGACGGCGCGAACACAATTGCAACATCGTAGAAAATCACACCCAGGTCCCTGGACCCCAACTTCCTGTGACATTTTTCGAGCCGGATTGACCTGCTGTGAGGGTCTCGGGGCCGAAACTTGGCGAAAAGGCCAGGCTCGAAAGAATGGCAACCCCTGGAGGGTGAAGACCCTTCTATTGTGCACCCTGGTGATCCTAAAGGGGCCCCCTGGGCCCGAGAGGGGCAGGAAAGGTATACAATTCTTCGCCCTGCCGCCCCCAGACCCTGGACGTCATGATGTTTTCATGAGGTCGATCCCCAGAGGTCTCGACCTATTCCCCGAGACCAGTCTTTCATCTCGAGTCGTTCTTCGACGGTCCCGACGCTCAGTAAGGCCCCTCAGAGACCGAAAGTAGCGAAAACACATTCAGTCGCGATGTTCCATGAATCGAGGAAGCCAGAGGTAGCGCCCCCCACTGAGGAGCGCCCAATTCTGTTCTCGTGACCGTGCGCTCGACCTCTGTGCGCGGGCTGGCGCCGTCCGGTGCGTCTACACGTCGCTGGACGCGAACGGCGACGGGCTGCTGACGCTGGCGGAGCTCAGCGGGGGGCTGCAGCAGGCCGGGCTGGAGGTGGGGGGCCCCCCCAAACGGAGTCCGAGTAGATGGGGTCGGAGGATCGCGCCGCAGCGCCGCGATGCCTCGGCGATGCGGGTTCGTGGTTGCCGTCTCCTCCGCGGCGACGTCGCCGATGGTATCGCCGGGACGTCGCTGACGCATCGCCGATGCAGTGCCGGTGCATCGGCGATGCGGCGCGACCCTCCGACCCCATCTGCTCCTGGCGGCGCGCAGAGAGGGGCAGGGGGAGGGGGGAAGGCTTCGTAGAAGGAGGCTGCTTCTTAGAAGGCGCCGGCCTTGCATCAAAAGAGAAGGCCCGCGCCTTCCAAGAGCAGGAGTGCTTCTCAGAAGCCTTCCCCCCTACCCCTCCTCCCCCTCTCCCCCCCCTCCTCCCCCTCCCCCTCCTCCTCCTCCTCCTCCTCCTCCTCCTCCTCCTCCTGCTCCTCCTCCTCCTCCTCCGTGTGGCCGATACTCGGGCACCATTCGGGAGGCCTCCGAGGTGGGCGGGCGGGACTTGCAGGAGCTCGTGGAGAGCATCGACGCGGACGGCAGCGGTGCCTCAGCCCATCCTCAGACACTCCCCCGACGTGCTCGCGCCGTAAACGAGACCAGGCACGACGGGCGTTGTTCTGCCGGGTTTGGCCTCGGGGGGGCCCTCGCCAGGCCCCGGGACCGTCAAAGAGCGGCTCGCGAAGAGAAGCCGGCCCCGTGGAAAAGGTCTGGACTTCCGGGGACCCCACGTTTAGCAAGTCATGGCATCGCATGTCTGGGTCTGCGCCCTGGGGGTCCAGACGCCGCAGCCTCTTCGCACACCGGGCACTGCCGCCTAGTCCGTCGGCCCCTCGGATCGCTCACAGGGCGCTCTGGCCCCAGAAGTGGTGCAAGACGGTGGGGTCCTGGGGCTCTGGTCGTGATTTCCGGCGAGGTTGCATCGTTTCCGCGACGTCGGATCTCAGGGCATCCCTCGGGGGCGGCAGAGAGGGGGGTGATGACCACGTGTGAGTGTGTGTGTGTGTGTGTGTGTGTGTGTGTGTGTGTCTGTGTCTGTGTCTGTGTCTATGTGTGTGTGTGTGTGTGGATCTCGTGGCGGGGGCCATGGTATCTCCCCAGATGGCACAGCGCCTCTTCTTTTTTACACACGTCTCCGGCCCCCCCCCGGGCCGCGCACGTGCCGCTGGCCATGACTTGTGGCCCCCCCTCTCTTGGATCACCGAGCGCGTTCCGCTGCTCGCAGAGTGCCTACTCTTGCAACCGTCCGAAGAGCACCCGTTCGCCCAGCTGTAACGGATCGTACACCCCCCGCGGTGGGCCCAAGCCCTGTACGAGCGGCTACTTTCTGCGAGTCGTGGAGCGCGCTTGCCTGTGGGACCCAGGAGGGGGAAAACACACAGACACAATCGATCGTCGCCTCCCAGGGGAAAACATGCGAAAACATGGGACGTGGGGGGGGGGAGATCAAAAACCCAGAAAGTATGGGAAAATAATATGGGATCTCTTCTCGTCTGTGTGGATTCCTTCGTGTGTCCCGCGGGGCCCCTCCAGGGACGCCCCCCTCCCGGACGCCCCCGAGGCCCCCCGTGGGCGTGGGCTCGGCCGGGCGCCGCCGCCCTGCCCGGCCCGCCCCCCTCTCCTCGCGGTGGGGACGGCTGCCGCGGCGCTCCCCGATGTGATACAACAAGACAGACTCCTCCAAAAGTCACCACCCACCAAACCACCCCAACCCAACCCGAAGGCCCAAATTTACCCTCGATTTCCAGTGGGGGGGGGGTCGGGGAACATTGAAAAAACACGTTGAACCCGTACCCCCCCCCAACCCGAAATTCGGGTCAAATTCGGGTCTTCGGGTTGGGTTGGGGTGGTCTGGTAGGTAGTCAAAAAGTGTTCGAAGAACCTTCCGTGGGAACCACACAAGGTTATCAGACCATCGTTTGGTGGGGCTGCAGGCGAGCCAGGACGCTTCGCCGCTGCTCGACCCCGACTCTGGGGGCCCTCGCGCAAGGGGAGGAGGTCCTCCTCCTCCTCCTCCTCCTCCTCCTCCTCCGCCTCCGCGGGCAAGGCGTCCATCCCCACCACCCGTAGAGTTCAGTCGGGCGTGCCCCTTTACAGGAGGAGGATTCAAAAATAGCAAAAAAAATTGTCGGGGGACGATTTTTGCCAAGTATTTTTTTGACCATTCGGGGGTATTTTTTGACTATCTCTCATTTTTCGCTCAAAGTCCCTCTGCAGGGAGACATGCCCGACCTAACCGTAGAGCCAGACTTCGTGGGCCCTGGAAGCGGCAGGGCCGTTTTGTTCACCGTTTCCGAAAAGGTGCCTCTTGAAAGTGGGAGCGGCAAGAGAACGGCGACCGGAAGCGGCAACAGAAACGGCTCCAGGATTGGAGCCAGAGCCAGAGCTGGCAACAAAAACGGCGACGGAACCGGCAAACAAACGGCGTCGGAACCGGGGAGAACGGCAAAACGGAACCGTTAAAGAAATGGCCTTGTCGTTTCCAGGGCCAGTTAGTAGCCGGACATCCAGCGTCTCGAAAGGAGACACGGGCCCCCTCTGAGATCCTGGCGTCGCGCAATTTTTTCGAGCTGGGCGTTTTCGAGCAGTTTCGGGCCTGAAGACCCTCACAGATCAACCCGGCTCGAGAAATGAAGCAGACAGATAGGATCCGGGGCTCCGGGCGTGATTTTGACGGTGTCGCGTTTTTTTTTGTTCGTTATGTCGGATCTCAGGGTCTCTCGACCACTTCCTGGTGACCGGTTTTTCAACTCGGGTCATCTTCTATGATGGTCACACGGCCCGGAAAGGGGTCCGAGGGTCCGACAACAAGGAGCAACTTGTGTGTGTCTCGTTCTTTTCGAGGCGCTGAATGTCTGGGTATGCCTTCGCGAGATCAAGACGCAAGTTTCTTCCAGCGGCGCACAGCGCCTCCGGAGCTCTAACTTTAGTGTTCGCTCGGAGCACTCAGATTGGGGGTGCGAAGGGTTCGGAAAGACATGCCGCATCTTCCCTAGAGGGATGCAGGGTCGCAGGTCCGGCAGTGGGGCTCAAGGGTTCATGCCGAGGTGTGATCGACTACACCGAATTCCTGGCGGCGACCCTGGAGCATCGCCAGTACATCCAGGAGGACGTGTGCCGGAACGCCTTCAGCGTCTTCGACCTCAACAGCGACGGGAAGATATCCCGTGAGGAGCTGCGGAGGGTGCTCAACTCTGGCAGCGAGAGCGTGACCAGGATGACCGAGAGCAAGAGCATGGAGCTGGTCTGGAAGGAGGTCGACTCCAACAACGACGGCTCCATCGACTTCGAGGAGTTCCTGGCCATGATGCGGGGCGCGGGGGAGGGCCTCTGACGTGCGAGGCGCGCCCCGGGGCAGGCTCGGCCCCGGGCCCCGAGGGCGCCCCCCCGGCGCCTGCTCTCCGCAGTGGCCCCTCCGGCGGCAGAGGTCGTGGGCCGCGCACTGCCCCCCCTGCAGTCGCCGCAGTACCTCTGCAGCACCCTCAGGTCGGGCATGTCCCCCTGCAGGCGGAGCATGGAATGATGGGCCTGTTTTCCACCACCACTACCATAAGTTGGAGGGGGGAAGGAGGTGGAGGACGAGGAGGAGGACGAAGAGGAGGAGGAGGACGAAGAGGAGGAGGAGGGGGGATCCTCCTCCTCTTCGTCCTCCTCCTCCTCTTCGTCCTCCTCCTCCTCTTCGTCCTCCTCCTCGTCCTCCACCTCCTTCCCCCCTCCAACTTATGGTGGTGGTGGTGGAAAACATGCCCATCATGGAAGGAAAGTGGTCAAAAAATGCCCCCCAAATCAAATCGTCCCCAGAGTATTTTTGGGCCATCTCTGACTCTTCCCCCTGTGGAGGGACAGGCCCGACTTCAGAGTACCCTCTGCCCGTTTCCTGCAGGGGGGGCCCTGCAGCAGTGGCACCGGATGCGTGCCCGCTCAGGCCGCTCCACACGCCGAGCGGTTTTCGCCACGAGCGCGAGCGAGCCGCCCAATGACAGCGGCTCGACGTGACAATCGCGGTGGTGCTTCGCCTGCCCTGTGCCCCCGACGCCCCCGAGGCTCGCCTCGAGAGGGATCCGGGCTGTCAGCTGAAGGCATCTCGATGAGGGGGGCAATGGGACTCAGATGGTGTTCATTTCTCGGTGTCGAGCTCAATGCACAATCCTGCCAGCGTCCGAGCAGCCGGCCTGGGCCCAAACGGCCTGCGGTCGGAGAGAGCACGTGTGCTATCAGGCAGAGTGGATCACGGAGATGGGGATTGGGATCCAAACGGGGTTCAGCCCAAAAGGGGGGAATTGGGGTACCGGAGGACAGCGGGACCACTTTTCCTGGGACCAGCTTCGGTCTCTCGTCACACACTGGACTGGCCGTCCCACGCCAGGCCATCAGAGGGTAGTCCCTGACTCCTCCTCCCTCCTCTGCTCTCTCTCCTCTGCGGGCTTCTCCTCGAGGTTTCTTTCTCCTGCGCCTGCCTCCTCCTCCTCCTCCTCCTCCTCCTCCTCCTCCTTCTGCTCTCCCTTCTCCTCTCTCCTGCCGTGGTGCTCTCTCGCGTCAAGAGCTCCTCGCGATGCTCCTCTGGATCGTGACTTGGGCTCTCGTTGAGCGCCCGCTCGTTGAGGTGCCCGTCCTCATCTATCAGGTATCGATCCTCCTGTCACGACGTCCGCGATGGCGAGGCTGCCCTCCCTGGGGTCGACCGCAGTCATCGGGTCCGCGGGCATGCGCCCGTGCGGCACCCGGCGCACTTGAGGGCCCACGGCGCCCACGGCACTCTTGCCATCCCTCCCCTCACGACTGCCAGCTCGGTCGCACTGCGGCGGTCGGCTCGGCTTCCCGCGGTGTTGCGGGAGACGGTTTCGAAGATCGGCTTGGCGTCGACGATGGCCAGGCTGGAGGCCTTCTCGCCGATGTCGCACGTTCTGGGCAGGAGGACCTGGAAGGGAGACTGGTTCTGAAACCAGTCGGGGGTGGAGACATCGGCGAGCATGGCATCTCGACAGGTGACCTTGAGCCGCTGGGCCTCCGCTGCTGCGCCCGAGAGGGCCAGCGTTTCCGCGGTCCCAGTGGAGGCCACAGCACTTTTCAGCCGCTGCGACTTCCATTAAAGCACGCTCACGCGTGCCCTCGTGTTGGATCGGATGGCGCCGTCGGCCGCCATCACGATCCAGGCTCCCTGAGCCCCCCCGTTCTGGGCTGGGCCAGGCCCCCCGCGTCTGAGGCCGTTACCATGGTGAGGCTGAGTGGGTCGATGGGCCAGACCATGAGGTACTGAGCCGCGATGGATTTGAGGTGTCGGCACACCTTGTTGGCCATGGCGGCATCCTCCACCAGGGGTGGACAGAGCTCCTGAGAGGAGCGAGGCATTGCCGGAAACGTCCGGCCTGGAGTCTCTGGCGACCCACTGAACTTGGGCCACCAGAGTGCGGCAGCTGGAGACCTCCGCGTCGGTGAGCGGCTGCTGCAGATCGGCTCGCCTCTTGCGATCCAGTGGCACAGGAGCAAGCTGTTCCTGGATGTATTTCCCTTGCTCCACTATGGCCTTCTGGCCCACCTGACGAAGGTGGCGGCCTGCGTTGTCGGGTCTTGTCAACCTGCCATTTGCCGAACTGGAACCTCTTGGTAATCTGGTCTTTGAACTCAGCCTCAGTCTCGGGTGCGGTTGCAATGGTGAGGTCGTCAACCTCTATCACCATCAGAGCGTCCAGTGATCCGGCCATGGATCGCCTCAACCAGCATCCCTTTTCGGAGTCCTTGCTCTCGCAGCCAGTCTGTGAGGGTGCGATGCCACAGCAGCGGGGCATCATTGAGCCCGTAGACTTCATCGACCAGCTCGATGAGCTGGTCATTCTTCAGCCCCAGCCCGTCGCACACCTCACAGTAGATGGACCCTTTTGGTTTCTCCATGGGCGACGACTTGCAAAAGGTGTTCTTGCAGTCGGCCTCCTGCATCTCCCACCCCAAGGATGCTATCGCCTGGAGGGCCGTCAGGACTGTCTCGCCCTAAGGGGTGTGTGCGTGCACTTGGAGGCCCCCTCTGTCAGGGTCTTGTAACCCCCGGACGGACCGCCGGCTCTTGGGAACCGGGGCCTCCCCCAATCCCTGGACCGGCTTGAAGCGCCAGACCATCCTCGACGAAAAGATGCGGTCTGGTAATCGTCTCCTCTCGGATCGCGCCTCCTCGGATCCGAGAATCCGACCGGCCTTCCAGTCCACGATGGCCTGCCATTCCTTGGCGTCGGCTGCCCGAAACCTCTTCACATCCGTTGGCTCCAGCTGCCGGAGGGTCACCTTGGCTTCCCTCCGGTTGTTCTTCTTTCTTTCTTTTTTATCCGTAAGGGCTTCACCCCCTGCCGCCGGCCCCTTCTCTCGGAGAATGGGCCATGGAAGAGCGAAGTCATGAGGATTTGGCTTCGCCGTGAAGCAGTGTCGGGACCTGTTTGTTTTTCGACCCTGACCCTACGGATCTGTGTGAGGGGTGCCGCCGAATTTCAGAAATGTAGCAAATCCCCTGTGTTTTTGGACCCTGACCCTGCGGATCTGCGTGAGGGGTGCCGCCGAATTTCAGAAATGTTGCAAATCCGCTGATTTTTTGGACCCTGACCCTGCCGATCTGCGTGAGGGGTGCTAAGAAATTTCAGACGTGTGGCAAATCCTATGTGTTTCTGGACCCTGACCCCGCCGATCTGCGTGAGGGGTGCCAGGACATTCAGAAATGTGGCGAATCTTTTGTGTTTTTGAACCCTGACCCCGCCGATCTGTGTGAGTGGTGCAACCGAATTTCAGAAATGTGGCAAATCCTATGTGTTTTTGGACCCTGACCCCGCCGATCTGCGTGAGGGGTGTCAGGAAATTTCAGACATGTGGCAAATATTATGTGTTTTTTTTTGTTTTTGGACCCTGACCCCGCCGATCTGCTTGAGGGGTGTCAGGACATTTCAGCCTAGTGGCGAATCTTTTGGTGTTTTGGAATAAGCCATAACTGTAGCACCAGTAAGCAGCAAGAAGCAGAACTGTAACAGTGGCTGGAAGCTGCAACTGGTACAGCAAACTGCGAACCTCCGGCCTACAGCCTGGTGGCCCCACAAGGGGGCCGGCTGATTTCCGGGCGGATTTTTCTGGGGACTTGTTGTCTCGTTCGTGACTGGTGGTCGCCATGAAGGCAAGGTCTCGCGACTTGTCCTCGGAACTCGTTAGCTAAGGAGCCTCTGGAGCATCCTCGGGGGCAGTCGAGCCAAAACGGCTAAGAATGAAGCAACAGAACCCCTTCGGTCGGCTTTCAAAAATGCCCATCAGCTCACGCATGAGGAACTCGTCTTGCGGTTCGTCGGGCGACGCCCAGACGGCAAGACCGATTCCTTGTTCCCTCGGAACTCCCTCGGCAAGGTCACAGCCTGAGGTCGAGCAGACCTCGTGAATCAGAGGAGCGGTGAGCTGTCGTCCGTCGGGCGCCGTGACCGTGGTGATGGGCTGTCCCTGAGACCCCCAGAAGAGGCGGAAAGAGAGAAGGGAGTCTCTGTCTCTCTGCATCCTCGGTCTCCTCCTACTTCTCCTCCTCCTCCTCCTCCTCCTCCTCCTCCTCCTCCTCCTCCTCCTCCTCCTCCTCCTCCTCCTCCCCCTCCCCCTCCTCCCCCGCCTCCCCCTCCTCCCCCTCCTCCTCCTCCTCCTCCTCCTCCTCGATCGGGGTGAGAGCTGTGCTGCGGAAGGCGTGCCTGTGTCCCTGGAGGGTCTTGAGGCGCTGGGATGGGGGGCTCCTCCACGTTGCTGTCCTGAGGAATTGCTTGGATCTGGCCCCGGGACGGATCGTCTCCTTCAAGGAGTCAGCTGCCGGGGCTCCTCTGGCACTCCTCTCAGCAGGAGGACGCGTGGACGCTGAGTTGGACCTCCGTCCAGAGCTGGATCTGGCAAGGATTCTTCGGGCGCGGCCGCGTCCCACGCCTCGGGGGGGGTTGGTCCCTCCCCCTCGACATCCACGGCTCCTACTCTCCAGCCTGGCACCCTGAGAGCTTCCCTTAGCTGATTGAACCAGGAGCTCAGCCTCCACCGCCTCTGGACGAGAGGCAGGTCTTACTTGCTCCTCTGAGCATCTGTAAGGCCTACTCCTCATCGCGACCCAAACGGTGGCGCCTCGCTGGTACACCACCGCACTCGGACCGCACCAGCGGCCCCGCTGCAGAGTATGCGTGCGGTCGCCCGGCGGGACCTTCCTCCAGACCAGGACCCTCCACACGTTTCGTGGCAGGGGGCTATACCTCGTGCGGTACTCGGAGTTTGCGCGCCCCCCTCCTTCGTCTCATCTCCCCCGCGATACTCGCAGCTGCATATGGTTGAGTCCTTAGTAAGTTTTTTATGTTTTGTTTGTTGTCTGGCGTTCTTTCGGGGTTGTTAGGCCTGTCTTCCTCTTAGTATTCCGCGAGTTGCTCGTTTTGGTTTCCTTTCTGGTCTTGTTTCCTTGCTGTAGTTCCCAGGCTGGTTGGTTTTGGTTCCTTCTTATTCCAGGTTGCTTGGTCTTGTTTCCTTACCGCATTCCCCGGGTTGCTTGGTGTTGTTTTCTGACTTTCGGGTTGTTTGGTCTTGTTTCGTTACCGCATTCCCCGGGTTGTTTGGTTTGGCCTCCAGGCAATGCCAAGCCACGCCAATCCACGCAGAGCAACGCCAAACAGCGCCAAGAGCAACACCAAGCCACGCCAAACCAAGCAACGCCAAGCAGTGCGCCCATGCAGTAGGACAACTTCCCCCATTCAGGAGCGAAAGAAGGACGTACATGTACATGAATCCACGCTGGTTTCGAGAGCACGCATTGCACAAATGTTCGTATAACGCGGCCGGTCTCGCGAATCGAGGGGCCGTGTTCATGTACATAGCTGGGCGCGTACGTCCTTTGTGGGCTCCCTAACCATCGAGTCGCGCTGAGCAGATTGTTTTTAACATGTCGGAGGGCCGGGCACAAGCCACCCGGGCGCCCCCGCGGCGCGGACCCCCTCCCCCGAGATGAGCGCCTCCCGGCCACGCGCCGCTCCACAAGAAGAGCAGCGCTGCCGCATGAGTGAAGGCCCGTCTCTGCACCGCGGGCCCCGCGGCCCCGCGGCGGGCTGTCCTTACGTTCAGCCGATGGCCGCCCGCCTCTCCGTCTTTCCCGCTCCAGCTCACTCTGCTCCCTCGCAGGGCCCCCCGCCGGTGGCCGTGCGGGGACCTTCGGCGGCGCGCGAGGGTAAGGCCGGGGGATGGACGGCGGCGGAGCTTTCAGATCAGGGGCAGCGACGGGAGGGGGCCAGGCCAGCCTCGCCGCGCCAGCGCAGCGCTTGCTCGGGGCTAGAGAGCGCCAGCGGTGAGCGGCGGCTGCCCGCGACGGGGGTCGACTCGGTGAGGGCGGGGTTCTGCAGCGCCAGCCACGGGGCGCCGTGTGTTCCCCACTCAGGAGAGGAGAAAACACACAGACACAATTCATCCTCGATTCCTCCGGAAAATATGGGAAAATATGGGAAGTGGGGGGGGGAGACAGAAACCCAGAAAATATGGAAAAATATGGGGAATCTGGTTATTTGTGTGTATTTATCTGTGTGTCCCAGGGCCCCTTCAGTGGCCCGCGACGGGGGTCGACTCGGCGAGGGCGGGGTTCTGCAGCGCCAGCCACGAGGCGCCGTGTGCTCCCCACGCCCTCCGGGAGGCGGAGGGGGGGGGGACCGGGAGGGCCGCTCCCCCCGTCGCTCCGCGGCTTTCCTCGCGCGCCGCCGGCACTTTTTTTTGTTCTCGAGACGGGAGTCGCTTCCTCGGCAGCAAGTCATGGGAGCCTGGCGTGCCCTGTGCATTCCGTCTTAAGCGTCGATTCGCGTCGATTAGCGGCTGGGAGTCGATGAGATAGCGCCGATTTAGCGTCGGTCAGCGTCGATTAGGGTCGATCTAGCGTCTATTAGCGTCGATTTAGCGTCGATCAGCGTCGATTCGCAAGAGCCGACAAGATGGTATGGGAGGCTCCCATGAGTTGCCACCGAACGCTTCCAGGTTCCTGGCTTGAAATGCTTGCGAACCTAGACGGACCGCAAGCGGGCGATAGCTCTGGCAGCCGCCTGTGCAAACGGAGGCGACCTGTCTGAAAAGAGGCGTCCCATCCGCCGTCGAATGACACAGAACCGGAACACATAAAATTTCGCAGGTCCGCGCGGGTTTCTTGGGTCGTGCGCCAGGGGCGGCGATGGAGGCGCCGCCAGAGGGTTCAGCGCCGATCCAAGAAGCTCTAGCGGACGGCCGACCCGTTTCTTGCTCCTCTGATCCCCATCTCTGAACGGTCTGATGAACCTGAGCGCGCGGGGGTGGGGGGGACTGCGCGGGGAGGTGGGATCACGACAACAGCATGAAGGCAAGCATAAAAAGGGAGTGCTGCATATTTCGACGGATGCGTCAGCTGCGTGAGTTGCCCTTCTCTGCGGCCGTCCCACGCCTTCACATCCGCACTAGCGCACCCAGTGTCTGGCGCGGCCCTTCGGCTCTGCACCCGTGCTCGCATCCGCCAATTCCTGCGAACCAAGAAGAGCAAGCACTGCGTGAGCTGCGCAGGACCGCACGCCTCGGCAGGCTTCCCCTCCTCCTGCTCCTCCCACTCCCCCTCGGACTCGAGTTCCTTGAGGGCCGACTGCGCCTGTCTGCGACGGGGTGCGCAGGAGTGCGGGCTCGTCGCGCACTGATCTGGGTCGCCTCCATCGCTGATGGCGCCAGCATGTGCGACTCGGCGCACCTCGGGGAGCGGGTCTCGTCGCGGAGCGCGGCTGCGGGCCTTGTGGTGGGGCCTGTTGTTTGGCGCGAGGCGGGAGCGCCCGAGGCGACACGCTGGTCCGTAGGTGTGGGGAGGGCCTGGCCGTGGCAGCGTGGGGGTGGTATCTCACCGGCCGAAAGATTAGATGTGAGGAGAGATGAGGAAGGAGGAGGAGGAGAAATGAAGGTAGAGGCGAGGAGGAGGGTTTGAGGAGGAGGAGGAGGACGGAGGAGGAGGCGGAGGAGCAGGAGGACAGGAGGAGGAGGAGGAGGAGGAGGAGAGGAGGAGGAGGAGGAGGGATGGAGAGGGGGGAGGAGGCGGAGTGGGAGGAGGAGGACCAGTGTAAACCCAAGTCACACCAACGATGTTGCCATAAACCCTCCATCCGAGTCTCGTCTTCATTTGCCCGACAATGATTTGCTCGCTTTGCAGAAAAGGGCACATGGAAAGACAACTGTTAGAGATCATTTCTCAGCTGTGTAAAAGGACAATTTCCTGGGTCTAGCGCCGCGAATCAACGTTCGTGTTTCGTCCTGATGATCCTCAATTATGCCAACGCACAATTCTTGGGACTCCAACACCGCGAATCAACGTGATAATTGCGTCCTGACAGTCTTCGTGCCAGAAACCGTTCTTGGGACATCACCTTTGCGAATCCTTGAAACCATCGCAAACTTTAATGCAAATGTGCGCGGCGGTACGGCGATAATTACATTTTGAAAAAGGAGGCCTTTTCCATGCTTAAAGCTATTGCAAACTTGTCAGACGATTGCGCGCGACGCTAAGGAGAGAACTGCATTTTGACACGAGCCAACTTACATCCTTGAAGCTTGTCCAAGCTTTGAAGATTAGTGCGCGCGGCGCTAAAATTATATCAGCGTTTTGAAAGAGACCCGCCCTCCATCCTTTGAAGCTGTTGCTGCAGACTTATACGACGAATGTGCGCGACGACAGCGCGACATCCACATTCTGAAAACTACCCGCCCTTCTTCCTTGAAGCTGATGCAGACTTTCAAAACTGATACGTGCGGCGTTAAGGCCAGAGCCACATTTTGAAAACCACCCGCCCTCTGTCCGTGAAGCGGATGCAGACGGCAAGCTTCAAGATCACGCGCTGTGAGGACGTACCAGGCGAAATGCCTGGTCCGCCTTACCGACACGTGTGGGGATGCGACAGGCCAGAGTTATTTTATTGCTTCGCTCATTCCGCCGGCCCATTTTTACGTCATTGTGGCTACGTGGCGGTGTGTTCGTGCCCAGGGGGAACGGTAGGGCAGGCAGGAATGTCTTCGATGCCATTTTTGGAGATGTTGCTCGCACCCTGTCGAAGAGAGCTGGTCGACTTCCCCAGAGGGCGCCGAGATGGCTCAAGAGAGCTCCAGCAGAGTTCCGTTTCGTACCTGGGTCGTGGGTTTGAGTCCTCATGGAATCTTCTTGGGGTCTCTTCGGAGGGCTCCCGCGGGCCTCTGGGGAGCAGTTTTGAGGCCTCTGGGGAGTCTCTTGGGGAATTCTTGTGGGCCTCTTGGGGCTTGCTCGGGGCCTGTTGGGGGTCTTGGCAGCCTTTTTTTGGGCCTCTTGGGGGCCTCTTGGGGCCTCCTTGGGGCCTTCTCGGGGCCTCTTCGGGCAAAGACCTCGAAATGGCCGTTCGGTCCCCCATCTGGGTCCTCTCTTGGAGCCGTCTTGGGGGCCTCTTGGGCCGTCTTCGAGGCCTCTTGGGCAGTCTTGGGGTTCTCTTGGGCTGTCTTGGGGTTGTTTTGGGGCCCTCTTGGAGATCGGTGGGCCGTCTTGGAGCGGCCGGGGGGCCTCTTGGGCCGCGTTGGAGTGTCGGGAAGCTGCAAAGGTGAAAACGCGAACATCATTCTAAAACCAAATGAACATCAATTCATTTTGCCTCTTGGGACTCTTTTGGTAGGCCTCTTGTAGGCCTCTCGGGGTGTCTTGGAGGCCTCGTGGTCAGTCTGGAGGCTATCTTGGGCGTCTAGGAGCGATCTTGTGGCATCTCGGGGCTTCCTCGAACCATCTCGATGTCCTCTTGAGGGTCATTTGGCTCTTCTTGCTACTCTCGCAGGCTCGAGAGCGGCGCTTCCTGTGGTTTTTTTCGCCTACTGTCCCCCAAGGGCTGCCCCTCGCGCGCGAACTATATATGTATGTTTATGTATTCGTATCTATATATATGTACGATTATCTTGATGCGGATAAGTATGTTGATGCTAGCTTTCATGCTTCTGCTTATGTATAGTTGCATCAATATATAGATATGTATGTTTGCATGTGTATACGTTTGTAGCACGCATATATATATATATACATATATATGTATATCATATATATATATATATATATATAGGTATGTATGTCTAGATGCATGCATCTGTGTGTATGTGTTTGTATATGTACACCCATGCATACATGCATTCACGTTTGTATGTAAGTATGCATGCAGACATGTCTGTAGGTACATACATATGTATGTCTGCATGCATGTCTGACTGTCGGTCTGTCTGTCTGCCTGTATGTGTGTCTGTATGCATGTATGTGTGTATGCATGCATGCCTGCATGCATGCATGTATGCATGTGTGCACGTACGCATGTATTCATTGATGTCTGTACATCTGTATGTCTGTGAATCTGTCTGACTGACTGACTGCCTGTATGCATGCATGCATATATGTATGCTTGCTTGCATGCATGCACGTGTGCATGCATGCATGCATGCACACATGCATGCATGGATGCATGCATGTACGTATGTATGTATGCATGTATGTATGTATGCATGTAAGTATGTATGTATGTATGTATGTATGTATGTATATATTTATGCATTTGTGTACGTATGTATGTATGTACGTACGTACGTACTTACGTACTTATGTGTGTGTGAACACACATATATATAGGCATATATATATGTGTGTGTACACAGGACTACCGTTTCTCTGTCACCAGAGATCTTAGCAAGCCTCTTGCCCGTTGGGCTGGCGAACTTACAAGGAAAAGGGATGGAGGAGGAGAAGGCGGAGGAGGAGGAGGAGAAGGATGGGGGAGGAGGAGAAGGAGGAGCAGGAGGTGGAAACGTGGGGAGTAAACAAAAACCAGTGCAATAAAACCTGCAAGCACGCTTCCCTGAACCCCCCCGAAAGCACCTGCCACGACGCTTCCCCGATGCGCCCGGAGGTACTTGACGACTGTGGCGGCGGCGGCGACGGCGACGACGGCCGCGCTGTCGCGGGCGCCCGCGCAGAGGCGTCGACGGCGCCCAGCTCGCGGCGCGACCGCCCCATCGGCGCCCCGCGGGTGCCGGGCGAGGAGCGGCCGCACGCCGCCGCCGCCCGCGCCGCCGAAGTCGGCGCCGTCGTGGGGGTCGCTGCCGCCGTTGGCGCCACCATCGCGGCCGCCGCCGCCGCCGGCGCCGCCGCCGCCGCCGCCGAGGCCGCTGCGGTCGGCTCGCCCGCGGGCCGGCGCCGAGGGGCGCCGCCGCCGCGGCCCGTGGCCTCCCCCCCGCCGTGGGCCCTCGCCGCCCCCCCTGCGCCCGCGCGCCCTCCGCCAGGACCGCGAGGAGCGCACGGAGCCGCGCCCGCACAGGCCACCTGTGGGCTCCAGGCGGCGCGGCCACCGGCCGCCGCGGCGACGGTGGCGACGACTGCGCGGCGGCGCCTGGCGGCGCGACCTCCCTCGGCGTGCGGGCTCGCTCCTCCGCCGGCGCGGCCGCGCCGGCGGCGGCCCGCCGCGGGGGCGGTCGCCGCGCCGCGAGGGGGCTCGTGTCACGCGCAGAGGGGGGTGGGGGGTGGGGGGTCGGCTTCTTGGAAGCACCCCTGCCCCCTGCCTCTTAAGAAGGCGCGGGCCTTGCCTGTATACCGAAGGGTCGCGCCCTCCAAGCAGCAGCCTCCTCCCAAGAAGCCTTCCCCCCTCCCCCCACCCCCCTTGTTCGCGCCGCCAACTCGCGGCCATGTCTCGACCCATCCCCACCAGGAAGGCTCTGGCCCCACGGTCCGACCTGCCCCCTTGGGGGGGGGGGGGGGGGGCAGGTGCCGCCTCCGCCGGGCCTCACGGCCTCCAGCCCCACCGAGAGGGCAGGCTCGCGGCCTCTTCTTGTCTGGAAGAGCACGCCACGACTCAGAGAAGCACGACGGGCCCTGGCCTCGTTTCTGTTCGCGGGGATGTGATCCCAGCCGGCATCCTCTCCTGGGAGTAGCTGGCACTGTCGCTTCCTGTCGTCGGGTGCTGCAGCTTGGCGGTGCGCACCTTTCTGTGGCCGTTGCGCCCCTTGAGCGCGGGGAGTTCGAGTGATCTTGGCTTGCGCGAGAAGTTGATACACCGACGAATTGATTCCGAGCAGGGCGGACATGAGGGCATTTCGCATTTATCTGCTTATG